CCTTTGACTACACAGGGGCAGTGGACGCTGATACTACAGTATCAGTGTCCACACAGTGGCAGTGGACTCTGATGCTACACATCCTTTCAGACTTTCTCTGCTAGATGATCCTATCAATTTCTTTATGCCTTTTTACTACCGACTTTTTGTAAGTACAATTCAAGTTGTGCATTTTATCATTTATCATTTTAACATTAAATTTCGTTTTTAAACTATGGAGGCGCCATTAAACTGATGAGCGGTTAAAGCTTTTAAAGCATCGCCTATGGTCAATTTTTGGTATGGTAGTTTTTTGTGATTTTGCGGGTGTGCGCAATTTTAAGGTTTGGCCTGTTTGGTGTCTATTTACCAGACGTGACCCCATCTTTTATATTTTACCAAAAAATCAGGTAATAATAAATGTATTATAACATAATGTTAAAAAAATTGGTAATTTTTCCTTATTATAGTCAAAAATAAAAACCCCAGTGGTGATTAAATACCACCAAAAGAAAGCTCTATCTGTCCACAAAAAAAATGTATACTGTAAAATGGCCTGGGCAGGAAGGGGGTATAAACATATGGTCTTTAAGTGGTTAAAGTGTTTTTATACCCCAAACCTTTTTTTTTTGCATTTTGGAAGGGGTTCGGAAGAATTAGAACTCCTCTCTGGTTTTACTGTAATCAGTAATCAGTTGGAGAGATTCCTTCACTTCTTGTCTAGTAAACAGGTGGTGCCCAGAACAGGAAGTGAGAGGAAATCAACAGGGACACAGACAGAAGAAAAACGGCTTCTTATACATTAAAGCAGAACTCCAGGAAAAAAAAATATTTTTGGACATTTGCTCTGTAGAAATAAATTACCTTTTAATGATTGGGTGCTTCAGGTGTGGCCGGCTGCAGCGTTAGGTAAACCTTACTTTCATTCATCCCATCAACTACTGTAAGAGCTGAATTTCCAGCACTGTAAATTACAGCTTCACCTCTCATACATAAATTCCTCCATTCATAAATGTCTTGTATGTCTTGACATTTATTCGCCCTCCTCTGCCCTTGTCCAATCACAGAACACCGTGTGTTTTGTGAAAAAGGGAGGACAAGCGAACTGTGATTTCCAGTGCTGGAAGTTCAGATTTTACAGTAGCTTTGGTGAATGAATGAATGAAAGTGAGTGTATTACCTAACACTGCAGCCAGCCACACATATGACACCCATCATTAGAAGTTTTTAGTTTTGTTTTTTTGAAGAATATAGCTTACTAAATTTTACATTAAATAAACAGGAAAACAAGTCCCTTTTAGAAGTAATTTCTACAAAGCAAATGTCCAAACATAGTTTTTTGCTGAAGTTCCGCTTTAACCTGGGAATGCTGGAACCTCTGTCCGTTTTTTGTTTCTGTTTTCCTGTTACACATATTCTCTTACATCCTGTCTTGTAAAAGGTTGTTCCCAGAACAAAAAGTGAGAGGAAATCTGTCTAACAGAGCCCCGGATAGCAGTAAAACCTGACATATTATTTCATATGAATGCAGCTGCTCTTGTGCACATGAGGACAGGAGAACAAACAATTTCCTATATTCATCAGCTGTTTGCGCACATTTTCATTTCCTTAAAATCTCATTGGTGTAGTGATCTGCACATCATTATCACAGCCCTTGACCTAGCACCACTGTGCCCACATTTTAAAAAGGTTACTAAGTAAAAAAAATAATGCTTTTGTATACACATCTTGTATGTTGCTCTTCTTGTAGCTTATTTTTTGTACATACTTACACACCTCATCTAAACTGATGGTAAATATGCGTGCTGTACAGATGTTTGCACACACTATTTATATTTTGGTGAGAGCAGTTTATATTGGCTCCTATTGTTGCTCTATATCTTTATCTAAAGAGCTAGTTTATCAGCATATAAACAGTTTGCATTCTTCATCACACCAGATGGTTAAAAGTCATTTGACCAAGAAAAACTTCTGTATCATAGCAACAGGAGTCATTCAAGTGTGCTGCAGACAGGGGCTCATGTGAATGAACTGCAGAGTAATTCCAAAGAATGATATCAGGTCTGTTCTCTGATGGTGGAATTGCTGTTGTAGAAGTACATTTCAGAGAACATTCATGATAACAGGATAAGCAGGTTGTTTAACCACTTAAAGAGCGGGGTGTTAAACCCCCTTCCTGTCCAGGCTATTTTTCAGTATTTACTGAGGTCATTTCACTGACATACAGGTGAAACTCGAATAATTAGAATATCTTGCAAAAGTAATTGCAGTAAGTGCTGCAAAAGGGGCCCAAACCAAGTACTGAGTACATATGCATGCTTGTACTTTTCAGAGGTCCGATATTGTTCTATGTACAATCCTTGTTTTATTGATTGCATGTAATAATCTACTTTTTTGAGGTTGTGGATTTGGGGTTCTTGGGGTTTTCATGAGCTGTAAGCCACAATCATCACAATTATGACAAATCACGGCTTGAATTATCTTGCTTTGCATGTAATGAGTCTATCTCATATATTAGTTTCACCTTTTAAGTTGCATTAGTGAAATAAATTAACTTTGCACGATATTCTAATTATTCGAGTTTCACCTGTAAAAGACGGGGTCACATCGGGTAAATAGATACCAAACATGTCAAGTCTTAAAATTGTGCCTGCCCGTGAAATCACAAATGAACTACCATACCCAAAATTATCCATAGGCGATGCGTTAAAAGCTTTTAGTGTTAACAGTGATTGATGGCCATAGAATTATTGCTCACACTCTGGCGTTCATGTGTATGTATATATATATATATATATATATGTATATATGTAACATGTGGCACAAAGGTTGTTTTCAAACATAGGCATTCCTGACGCGTGTTTGCATTTGTATGTGTGTACCTAGGGGCGGAGGACTTTAAAAAAAAATGTTTGTGTTTTTTATTTTTTTATATGTGATTTTCAAGTTGTTTTTTTTTACACTTAACAAGCTAACATGCCCCCTATGTGATAGCACAGATAAAGTGACCAATCTTCTTCATGGAGACATCAGGGATCTATTAGATCCCCTAATGTCACCTATGGACCCCAAAAGAAGCTGATGAAGTAGAGATCTGCTTCAACAACTTTGATTCTGGCTACAGCAGCCAGAGAAATGACAGACTGAATCTGGAATTGATTCACGTTGTTGATGTTATCGCCTCCTATCAGAATGTTCTTTCTCACCATATTTTCATGCAGCCCACTTGAATGGTTCCTGTGTATGGAATTGCAAGAGGCTGGTACCAAATCAAATTCAGATACTTACACTGGTTTCAGTTAAAAGTATGTTCGATGATTTATTAATGAATACCTAACTGCAATAATTTGTGTCCTTCATTTTTTTCTGGAGTTCAGTTTTAAGGTCCACTTTAACAATTAATGAGGGTTTAAGAAGGGTGGATGGCGATATAGCCAAGTGAAGGAACTTACCTGCCAGCTGTAATTAAACAATGTCTTCAGAGTTTAAAACAACCTTGTAATGCTAGCTGTACACAGGGTGTATGCTTAAGACATTTTGCGTAACCTGTCAGTCGCTGGATACAAATAACGCGGTTGCATTATTAGTGTAGCTGGGAAGCCGGGGTCTCAGGTGGGCTGTAAAAGATCTCTTGTGGGCTCTGCAGGTTCTCAGCCTGAGACCCTGCAGAGCCCACCATAGACCCGCAGAGCCCACCTGAGACTCCGCAGAGCCCACCTGAGACCCCGCAGAGCCTACCACAGACCCCACACAGCCCACCATAGATCATGCACAGCCCACCACAGACCCTGAAGAGCCCACCACAGACCCTGCAGAACCCACCACAGACTACGCACAGCCCACCATGGACTCCGCATAGCCTACCTGAGACTTTGCACAGCCCACCACAGACGCCGCACAGCCCACCACAGACCCTGCAATACCCACCTGAGACCTTGCAGAGCCCACCACACATCCCACACAGCCCACCATATACCCCGCATAGCCCACCTGAGAAATTATAGAGCCCACCACATACCCCGCACATCCCAACATATACTCCGCATAGCCCACCTGAAACCCCAGAGAGCCCACACGATGCCTGATTCTGTGCGGCCCGGCTCGAAGCATAGATTTGTGGTCAGAGTTTTGGCACCCCCTTGAAAATGCCGCCCAAGGCAAATGCCTTGTTTGCATGCGGTGCATACGCCGCTGGCTGTACACTGTGCAAGGTAGGACTACAGGTGTGAATACTTTCTTTGTGAATTACCACTTTTGTGCAAAACTAAATGGCAGAAACATTTTAAAGGTGCATTTTAGCCTGTAAAATCCCAGGCTCAGGATTATTTCTTCCCAGAACACCAGGTAACTGACGAAGAGTTTACAAAGTTGAATATCATGGCGTTTTCAATCAATGCAAAATAAAAACCTGGATAGGTAGTTTGTGTACTTTTCCATATTTTTGAGATTGGCTGGAGTGTACCTTTAACGGTCAGGGTAACAACATAAGCTCATACATTGGCTGCTTAAAGAAGAACTCCAGGCATAATTATTTTTAACCCTTGCAGTGGGGCTACCCCCGCACTGCAAAGTTTAAGTGCTCGTTTGCATCTGGGGACAGAAATAAAAAATATATACTTACCTGAACCTCAAAGCCAGCTGGCTGTGAGACCAGTCCCTACTGTCTCACTCCTCCTTTGCTCCAGCAGTTGAAGGTCCTGTGAGTCATCACGTTCTATACAGTGTATAGGATGTGAGGATGCCGGGGGAAACTCCTTCACTGGAACAGAGGAGGAGACACGTGGCAGGGACTGAAGTAGCAGCCAGCTGCAAGTTTCAGCTGGGTATAACTATTCTATTTTCGTCCATAGACAAAAATGAGCACTTAACCCTTATGCCCAGAGTTCTTGAGTATTGAGTTTAAAATGTATATGCATAACCACCAGTAACATAAAACAGGAAATGTTTCCCAAAATATATTATCTATTGTTGCTTGGGATGAATATGTGCATACTTTTTCTAATCGTTAAATGTCTTCTTAGCCTGGGTGTGTGAATACAACGGAAATGGACATAAGAAAATGTCGTCGAATGAAGAATCCCCAGAAGGTCAAAAAGGTGTGTTTTACATTATTAAGTGCAGTATTTGTACTTTCACAGGGGTTTATATAAAAAAAAAACACCCAATTCAAACAATATCCATAGTGCAAAAGAATCACTGTACATTGCTTCGTAGGTAGGTGTGCCTAATAAAGTAGGCATTGAGGGCCCATGCCACTGTATAATGCACTGGAGTGCCATAAACAACAAACCTGGAGGTGTGTGTGTTTTTTTTAGAGCTCGTTGCCACAATTCAGTGATCTGAATGGGCCCTGAGTGTTGCCTTTCACAGGGTTCCCTATCTCTAAGCAAAATTGCAGTTTGTAGCAGGGACGTGCGGTCAGGGGAGGCATATCTTCAAAATGCTGCACCTGTCTACAGCGTTTTCTGTTCATACATTACTATGGACAGAAATACAAAGTGGTTAGGGCTACCAGGCACCACAAATACAGACATACAGTATTTTATATTGTATGCTTACACACCTGTATTTGCACTGGTGTGCATAAGCAGGACCGTTGCAAGGATTTTTGGCTAAACAGGCGAAGGTGCATTTTTCACCCCCCTTCCCTGGCCCCCTCAGGTGGATGCCTATGCAGCCTTATGTTAGCGCCAGCCCTGCATAGACATCCCATAAAGCAGCACTCCGAAACTAACAGGAGATATGTGATATCCATGTTACAGGTCAAACCAATTATCTCAGAAGCATTTAGAAAAAAGGAAGACCATCAGCTACTAGTGCCCTATATCTGAAACCACAAGCAATGACATCCCAAATAGTTCACTGTGGAGCACCCCAATACAAAGACACCCCACAGTCCACCACTCCAAAAAGCATAACTAAAATGTCCATGTTACAGCTTACACTGAACATATCCAGCATTTGGAAAAGAATGACCATCATCTACCATGGAGCACCCCAATACAAGGACCCCCCATAGATCTTGACTAAAGAAAGCATTACTAACAGCAGATAACAAGTGACCTTAAACTGATGTTTAATTGCTTCAGGACCGGCTAATGTAGATAAACGGCAGTACCCTGAAGCAGTTTTACCAAGATCATGACTGCTGCAGCCGTTTAAAAACAGCCGGCAATGGCTGTTGCATATACAAGCGATACGGAGGCTATACAGCTTGTACAGTGCAACCGAGTGTGCCCGCTCCGCTGTCCCCTTCAATTGGAGGAAGATCAACACAGTCCCAGCTGCTAATCTGATCACTGGACCCAGGAGTGATGTGTATTACATCACTTCTGGTGTTACTCTGTAATTTATGTGGCTGCTCTTCACATTCACTTTTCATGTTTTTTTGCTTGCAAATTTGTCATTTGTAGAATCAACCAATTACACTATAAACACATTTTATATACACTATATAATATATCAAAAATCATGTGTCCTGATTAATTCTGTGACATCCACTGTAGCTGCTGATAGGTTGATGGTGGTAAAAATTCTGTGTAATAAAATGTTAGGAGACCTTACACTAACCGCCGATGTACCGAAGGCATTCTCACTGGCCACCAATGTAAAGGAGGTATTTTCACTGATCAGCAATGTAACAGAAGTATTCACACTGACCAGCAATGTAACAGAGGTATTTACACTGACCAGCAATGTAACGAAGGTATTCACACTGACCGCCAATGTAATAGAGGTATTCACACTGTACGCCAATGTAATGGAGGTATATACACTGACCAACAATGTAACAGAGGTATTCACGTTGACCACCAATGTAATGGAGGTATTCACACTGTACGCCAATGTAATGGAGGTATATACACTGACCAACAATGTAACAGAGGTATTCACGTTGACCACCAATGTAATGGAGGTATTCACACTGTACGCCAATGTAATGGAGGTATATACACTGACCAACAATGTAACAGAGGTATTCACGTTGACCGCCAATGTAATGGAGGTATTCACACTGTACGCCAATGTAATGGAGGTATTCACACTGACCGCCAATGTAACAGAGTTATTTTCACGAACCGCCAATGTAACGGAGGTATTCTCACTGTCCGCCAATGTAATGGAGGTATTATCACTGACTGCTATTGTAACGGAGGTATTCTCACTGACCGCCAATGTAACAGAGTTATTTTCACGAACCGCCAATGTAACGGAGGTATTCTCACTGTCCGCCAATGTAATGGAGGTATTATCACTGACTGCTATTGTAACGGAGGTATTCACACACACCAGCAATATAACAGAGGTATTCTCACTGACCGCCAATGTAATGAAGGTATTTACACTGACCAGCAATATAACAGAGGTATTCTCTCTGACTAGCAATATAACAGAGGTATTCTCACTGACTAGCAATATAACAGAGGTATATAATCCCCTCCACCACTATTTTGTTAAATACTAATATATGTACATACACATACTTAACATTCCTTTTTCCTGAAGTTTAGGCTGATCACATGTGCTTCTTTTTCTTCCTTAGCAGCAATGGTGGGCGGTACTTCCTTAAATACATGTAGTGCCATGCAGTCCAAGAATACCGTGAGCTCTTGGGGGGAGCGGTGATTTGCATATCAATTGGCCACAATATTTACATATGAAGTAGTCACGGTTATTGATATGTATAATAATACCCCTGTCCATTCATATGTAAATATCACGGTGGGTGACAGCTCCGGCCACGGTGCGGGCTCCCAGGAGAGAGAGCAGACACAACAGATGGAACTGGGGGCAGGGCTCAGACTATAGGAGCCAAAGCTCAGAGCCCCATCCATAGCGCTGCTTCTACGTGTTAGGCGGTGTTTTTATGCCCCACACACACACCAGCGCCATCAGGCACCTGCTTGTGCTGCCTTATGGTAGTGCCGTATGTGCATGAGCCCTTGGAGTTATTGTTAGCCTTGCAATCCATATCTGCCTGATGCTGACCTTGTTTTGGTCAACGTATAGCTAGGATTTAAAAGTATAATCAGTACAGAGTAAAATAACAGTTTGGTTGGAGTGTATTACTGTGCACATTTGATTCAATGTTGAGTGAATTCCAGGTAAAGCATAGCAAGCAGTAGTTAAAGAAAAGATTCTATTTACAGGTAGCTGGCACTCAGTACGAACCAGTTTGATGCACAGGAGGAGCAGATAAATGGAGGTCTTTGAAGGTGTAGTGTATTTTCTTAATGTGTCAAAATTGAAGATAGGCAAAAAACTGTTTAAGCTAAAAGGGAATTTTCGCCTTTTTACAGAGCAACAAGCACTGATGCACAATGATTTCATCTAAAATGCTTTCTTCCCATGTTTATTTATCAAAAGTAGAGCAATGATAACATCAAAATGTATATTTACAATATCAATAATTAATAATTTGATTCAAAATCAAAAATCTTTCTTTCCTGGTGAAAAAAATGGAAGCATACACATGGGTATAACTGTTGGCCCTTCTGAAGTTTAGGGTTCTAGTCCTTCCAGTACACTTCCCTTTTCTGTGTTCAATATTAAAAGTAATCACATTACCCAATCTTAAGGCCTGTTCTGATATTAATTTCAAGCTAAATTATCGATAGGTAAGTATAACATTTTGCATTTTTCTGACACAAGCATGGCAACATACACATGGGAAAAAGCACGCTAAACAAAGGAGGTTAACACTTCATTTTATTAATTCATTGGACAAATTGTTATACTCATTTAGCGCTGAGCGACCAAACTCCACCATGGTCAATGCTGCTGAATTTAATGGATTAGGAATGTGCCATACGTGGACCAAGTTGCTTCCCTGCAAACTAACTCTGGAGATACACCCCTAAATTCTGCCCATAAGTACAAAATCCCTCTAGTAGAGTGGGCTCTAAGATTGCTCAGTGGCTCCATTTTCTTCACCATATAAACCCTCTGGATTACCTTGACCAGCCGGGATACAATTGTCCTAGTGGATGCTGTAAGCCCCACAGCTGCAAGGCCACAAGGGAATAATTGCTGCCACACCACCTGGAGGACTGTGGATCCTGTTGAGGAACCTAAAAACCAGAGGAAACACATAACCTAGGCGGCAGACCCAAATGGGCGTTAATGTATCCACTTCTTCTGCCTCTGGGAGGTTGACTCATGACAAGAATGCCTGTCGAGTGCCGAAGCCTGAACATCCTCGGTCAACGTAGTGTAGTACTGCTTGCTTTTTCTTTCTTCTGTTACTGTTCTCCCTCTTTGCATCCTTGTTTTTCTTCTTGGGTGCTATTGCTACTGTGTCCTAGTGTGTTTGTTCTTTCTGGTTGCGTGCTTCTCTCCTTCCATAGCTTCTGCTTACTACTTCTAGTGTCTCTTCTCTCTGTTTTTTTGTCCTTTGCTCCTCTCCATTTCTATCTCCCGTGTAGGGTGCTGGGGGAGGTGGGGGGGACCTGCTGGTTCAGCTGCTCCTTTTGTGATCCTTCTACCACTACCTTCCTCTGGGGATCTTATAACCACTTTCTGGTCTTTTTTTCTTGTTGTGGCTAAAGATGCTTGATCTCCAGATTGGTTCTTTTAATGCTAGGGGGCTTAATTCTCCTGAGAAAAGAAGTTGTGTACTTAATGAGATGTGGTGCCTTAGGACTCATGCAGTGTTTATACAACAGACACATTTTCAGACTACTATGGCTTAAAAGTTTTCTAATTTCAGGTTTCCCCTGGGATACCATTGTACCACTCCACATTCAAAGATGAGGGGGGTTAGTATTCTGCTGTCAAGAGAGGTCGGTTGGTCTCTTGAGGCCCAGTATGTAGATCATCAGGGTTGCCAACAGCAGCAGTAAGAACTAACAAAGCCCTGTCCTCTTATTTCCCACTCTTTAATGGGACGAGGCAGGATGCCTCCTCTCCCCCTTATACTTGATCTCAACTTTGGAACTGGTTATGTGGCATTGGAAGTCTCCAAATATGGGTATTCATCATAAAGTTGTGGCGTTTGCTGACGACCTCTTGTTTTTTGTTGCTTCTCTTGAAACAACCCTACCTAATTTACATAAGGAACTTGGCAGGTTTGGGGATCTTTTGAACTTCAAAATCAATTTTCACAAATCAGAGGCCCTAAATGTCGACTTGCTGGGTTGAAGTTTTCTTTCCAATTCAAGTGGGTGAGTAATCACATTTCATTAAGGTTAGCCCATCTCTGTCTGGGATCTTTGCTGTTAACTTTAGACCGATGTTGGCCAGAATTAAGCAAGATCTAACCAAATAACATAACTTGTCACATTCCTGGTTTGGCAGGATGACTGTTCTGCCTAGACTACTCTACCTTTTTCTGACACTCCCAATTGGCATCCCGACTTCGTTTCTCTGGTCTCTTTGACCTGAATTTCTCAGCTTTGTATGGGCACGCGCTCCTCCTAGGATATCCTATAAACTTCTCACTCTCCCAAAGTATGTGATTTTGTAGTGAATGGTATCTTGAAACCTTCCTCAGATCTCCGGTCTCTGGTGGACCCCCAGCTGTATGACTGGAGGATGTGCCAAATGCTTCATTTTCTTTCGGCATAAATTCCCAGGAATTGGTCCCCGCCCCCTCTAACCTGGTTTGATCATCTCTGCACACAGGCGGATCTGATAAGACATTCTCTAACTTTGACTTGCAAATTTTTGATTCAACCAGAGGAGGGCTATGCCCTCCATTGCTGTTAAAATGGGAGCGTGACCTAAATATCTGCCTCATGTTGCAACAGAGGACTGATGTATTGTATTTCTCACACTCTGTTTCTATAGCAAGCCGGATACAGGAAAACAATTATAAACTCCTGTCTCGCCAATACAGAGTACCGTCGGTCCTGCATAAAATATACCCTGGTACTTCACCAGTGTGTTGGAGGTGTGGAGAGGGAAGGGGTGATCTGGTTCATATCTTATGGTCATGTGTCAGACTTGGACAATTCTGGAATAAGGTGTGGACTCTTACCGAGAAACGTATGGATGCTGCTCTCCGAGACAACGTGTCTTCCCCATGTCTTAGTTCTCCAGAGAAGTAGATAAAAAATTGCCTCGGGTTTATCTATTGGATGCAGCCGAATTGTGTATTCTAGCCCTCTGGAAGCAGACAGTTTCTCCTTCGACGGTCTTGTGGTATGCCAAGATCAAAGAAATTGAGCATATGGAAAAATCTCATACGTTTAGACGAACCTGGTTCTCTTGGCACAAATATGTTTTTTCTCAGGAGTATGAGGAGGCTTAGCAGGGCGAATTTGACCTGGTGACTAATTATCCATAAAGGAGAGTGTTGCTGGCCTTACCCCCTTAACTTCCCCTAGTGGCATTTGTGTCTCTTCCTCCGTTCATTCCTCTCTATTCTGGTTTTCTGCTCTATTCTGCTTTGTTTCTGTGTGGATTTTCTCTTAGTTGTGTTTCTCGTTCTTTGTGTTGTTATTATTTGCTTACTTTTTGTTGGTTGTGTAACCTTTTAAAAATGGAGGATTGTAGGATAGGTACTTTAGCCCGTAGGTTCATTGAATACTGTTGTTGGAGATGATCTGACTATATGAGGTTCATCTGTCTGCTTGAGATACTCCTTTGTTTGTGTCCTCTGAAGTTTTTCCACTGTTTTGACTACTGTGTAACCTGTCATAGCTGCTAAATAAATAAACAGTAATAATAAAAATAAAAAAAACATAAAAACCTTCTATACCCGCTTCAACACTACAAAAAAAATTCTGGATATTCCAAGCCAGTGTTCCACCATAAAGCCCGGTCTCTTACTGGTGCTTTGTCAGGCATGTCTAAGGGTGGATTTAGACTGGTGTGTTGCCATTGTGGCGCACCATAATGGTCCTTTTAAACCACCTTTTAAAGCACTTTGACCTTTTTCCAGCTCACTACAATGCTCATTTGAGAACCATCCATGTGTTTGGTGCACTGGAATAAATAAAAGTCCAGGTGCATTGAAAATCTTCTGTTTAATGCCCAACCTTCTAAAATGCAGGTTTGTTGTGTTGTTAGTTGAGGGGGCTTTCAAAATGAATGTCAGAGCAACAAATCCCATGTGTTAATGTATTGTGCAGAAAAATGCCTATTTTACCACGTCTTACTACAAAGCAAAGGTGTGAAGCTGACCTTAGCCCTCGTTTACACCTGAACGTTCTGTAGCGCGTTCTACGCTCGACGAACGCTCTACAAAACGCTCAAAAATATAAATCCCATTGTAGTCAATGGTCTCGTTCCCACCTTGGCGTATTTCCGCCCGTCCCTAACGCGCTACAAACGGCCCACGCCTGAAAAGGTACAGGTACTACTTTGGGCCGTTTTGTTGCGCGTTTCCATTGGGATACAGCCAAGTAGCCTTCGGAAACGCGCGACGGTCGCACGACAGACGCGCATATGCAATACGCCTAGGTGTGAACGAGACCTTAAAGTCAGCACTGTTATGTTTAACCATGATAGACCTAAAGGAATCACAGATAGTCACAAGTAACTCCAAGATAATTTATTTGTATAGAGAGGCATATAAATGTTTTAAACACTATTGTTCTTCTCTCCATTCTGATTGTAATGTTCTGTGCTTTTCCAGTCAGTATATGGTGTATCAGAAGATTCTCAGTCACAGAGCCCAGTCCACATGGCATCCCACGTGATTAGGAAAACAACAAAAGATGACTTGCGAAAACAGGTTGGTGTTTCATCAGAAATTACATATTTCATTTACAACTGTTTTACTCAAGAGCGTAACTGGGTGCAGAGAAGATGGGAGTAACAAGTTAGGAAACAAAAAATATTTAAAAATGAATTTGAGGACTCTGCTTGAGGCCTTTTTTAACCTGAAAGTAACATCATTTTGGAAATACATGTAAAAGGAGCGTGGAATTTTAAAAATGGATGCAGTATGTCAATGATGGCGTATGGTCTGAATATTTTTTTTAATTTATTAAAATTACACTGCATGGTATTGACATAATTATATTTGCACATGAACACATAGGTTTATAGCATGCCAGAGTTATTGTATATCTTTACTGTTTTGAAAAATAGCTGTAATATCTTAGCCTTAGCATCAACAAGGACAACAGGTAGGACATCTCCCAGTCTTCGACTGAATTGCTGCACCACCAAAATGCATTCCAGTGTTCTCCTTGGTTTGGCTGACTGATTAATACAAGCACACGTTTGGTTATAGTTCCTGTTTTCTTTATGGCCTAATTAACATCTGGCTGTTGCAAATTATTCAAAAATAGGAACATAGTTTCATGCCCTCCAAATTTAAGGAAATATAATTTAATTTTCCTTTTTTAATACCTGACATCTCATACTATATTCAGCAACAGTATACAATTTTTTTTTAAATAATTATTACAATTTGTTGGGCATATTTGATATTCAACGAAGCTGGTTTGTCACATAGGATAATAACGTGCACTATACACTTAAATTACCCTACTGCCACAACCGTATAAGGAACAACAGGCAAGAAAGCAAGATTGTGGGTTGAAAGAGGGAGGTGAGGTGGAATAATGGCAAGAGTAAAAAGGAAACGTATTGTAAATTTTACAAAAGTTGTTTAACCACTTCCTGTCCAGCGGCCGTATATAAACTGCCGGACGAGAGCCTTCTAGATGCAGTTGGGCGTTTTAAAACGTCGTTGTGCCCATGCTGCGCACGAGAAGGTAAATGTCAAAATTTGAAACAGCTGGTTCCATACAATAGCCCGCAATATACTGTGCTTTGGGTCACTGGGGAGGTTAGTATATGTCCTCCCGTGACCCTAAAGAGAACTTTGGGGAAAAACACTTACCCCATAGTTCTCTTTTAAGTGTAAAAAATAAAACAAAATGACAAAAAAATGAAAGTTACACATAAAAAACACACAAAAAGTTAAACCCCCCTTGCCCCCACATACACACGCAAACATGCGTTGGGTGCACTTACGTATGAAAACGACTGCGCCCATTGCGCCACACTTGTTACATATCACCGCGTACGTCAGAGGGCAATCAATAATTTTAGGGCCATTAATCACTGTTAACACTAAACGTATGAGCGGTAAAAGCTTTTAAAGCGTCACCTATGGCCAATTTTGGGTATGGTCGTTTTTAGTTATTTCACAGGTGCGCGTGCGCAATTTTAAGGCTTGATTTGTTTAGTGTCTATTTAACTGACATGCCCCCATCTTTTATATTTCACAGAAAAATTAAATAATAATAAATGTTGCATTATAATGTAAGGAAAACAGTTTTTTTTTTAAAAACTAATTGGTACTTTTTTTGTTATGTAGTAAAAAATAGAAACCCCAGTGATGACTAAATACCACCAAAAGAAAGCTCTAAGTGTCCCCAAAAAATGATATAAAAAATAAATTTCAGTACAGCGTTGCATGATGGAATAAATGTCACTCAAAGTACCACTGTGCTAAATACTGAAATATGGCCTGGACAGGAAGGGGTTTTTAATACCCTGTCTTCAAGTGGTTAATAAAGGGTTGTGAAATTCCTTTCCAACATATTTTGATAATCATCTCTTGTATAAATGAGAAGTGATAACTACCCCCTAACTAATTCCTCCTTCAATCTCCCATCCTAATGCTTTTATACCCTTATTTTTCATTCTGGATCACCCCTTTCAGGTTACATGCAATATGTGGCTAACTGTGCCCTAAAATAATTATATATAAACATCATTTAAGAAAACGTATTGAACAGAAAAGCTGTTTAATAAAAAAGTATTTCTGTAATAAAAGGAATTGAGCTCCTGTCTAGTACTAGGCTAAACTAATTAAAGCAAAAAAGCAATAAATGTTTTCTTTGCTTTATCACTAGGACTGATATCTGGCCATATATCATAAGGCACATGAGGCATGCTTAAAAGAGAACAATGGGGTAAGGGTTTTTCCTCATAGTTCTCTTTAGGGTCCTGGGAGGACAGATACTAACTTCCTCCCGTGACCCAAAGCTCAGTATAGCCACCATATACTGAGAGCGCCGCAGCCGGGACGGATCCCCAGAATACTGTTGAGATCCGCCCAGCTGCGTGAGTGACAGCTGGCTCTGCCTATCTAGAGGCAGAGCCAGCTGTGCCTCCCCCCTCCCCCGTTTGTTTCTCCACTCAGTGCTAGAGGATCAGAGAGGGGAGGCAGGAATCCCTGCGGGGAGCCGTGACTGACAGTCACCGCTCACTGCAGGGAGACGATCAGGAAGTGAGCGGATCAGCGGCATCTTTCTGTTCACTTCCCAATCAATAGAGCCAACTTGTCACAGCTTCTTTGTCACAGGTTGGCTCTAACTATAAGGATGAGTGGAAATCACTCACCTCATAGTTCTCCTTTTAAGTCATTATAATTATGATTATAGGTGCTGGAGAGTTTCTGCTAGTATTGTTAACTTCCAAATCAAATGTTGATGAGGATCAAAGATGACTGTGAGCTGGTGAATAATTTAGTTTTATTGCAGGTAGTTGTGTGGTGAATTAAATGGCATACAAGGCAGCAGGTGGCATTTAAGGAACCAATAGGCATGTATTGGTCATTAGCTGATCCTAATGGATCCTATGGCACACCAGTGAGAAAACATACATTCTTCAAGGTAAAACATTATTGTGCAGGTTAGAGATAATTATCCAATACCCAATTGTCTCTCCAATATATGAATGGTACCAATAGTATCTGCAGTACTGTAGTTTCCACTCCTTTGTTGAAAAAAAATGTTTGGTGTGCAGACTGTTCCCTTATTTCCAAACATCATCTAGTGTATGTGGGAAACGTTACCGAGATATTTATGATAATGTGAATGTTATAATATAAACACGTAATTCATGGATTGGATTGATATGAAATTATTCTCTTTGCAGATACATTTTCTGAATGTTCAGATAGATCGACATTGTTTAAAAATGTCCAAAGTAGCTGACAGGTAAGTTAGATATACAGGCTGATATATAAGGAGAGGAGTTCCATGACTTTATAACAATGTGCTAAGCTTTTTGTATGTTTTTTTAAATTAAGAAATTACTTAAAAGTATGTTCAAATATATCATCTTTTGATGTAAGATATTAGTTATTACTGTATGTGAATCATTTTTGTTCCTTTTTTTTCTCTTTTCTACAGCTTTATTGCTTACTCCGAACAATATACAGAGTACGATCCCTTTCTTTCCCCACCTGATCCTTCTAATCCATGGATAAGTGATGACAGCATTTTCTGGGATTTAGAAATAAGGTATGCCAGGTGTACAAGTTATCCTATTGAATTTTGCTTATTGTAGCAGCCCTGGGCTGCAAAAGAAAGTAGTTAAAGTTTGCCAAGGCACAGCTTGTTACCTGCATTACAATGCTGGAGCCTGTTCAAAGTGCCAATAACAGTACTGACAAGTCTACTTTACTGATAATAGCAGATGCTTAAATTCCTGTTTATTTAGAAAGAAATAATCGACGAGTCAGCTGTTTTGTTTGCACAACCTTACCTGCTTCTTTTCTTTAGGTATTAAGTTATGCCATTCCAGTACATGCAAGTGTTAGATGGAAAGGCCTGTGTTCACATCCTTAGCATTTTGGTAATGCATGCACCACAACATGACTTATTGTGCATTGCAGCGCATTGCATTACCGCAGCCTATTCATTTTGAACAGGGCCCAATGCAGGAAAATATATATATATATATACAGTTGTGCTCATAAGTTTACATACCCTGGCAGAATGTATGATTTCCTGGCCGGCCATTTTTCAGAGAATATGAATGATAATACGAAAACCTTTCTGTCACTCATGGGTAGTGTTTGGCTGAAGCCATTTATTATCAATCAACTGTGTTTACTCTTTTTCTGTCATAATGACAACAGAAACTGCCCAAATTACCCTGATCAAAAGTTTACATACCCCAGTTCCTAATAAGGTGTGTTGCCCCCTTTAACATCAATGACAGCTTGAAGTCTTTTGTGGTATGTGTGGATGAGGCTCTTTATCTTCTCAGATGGTAAAGCTGCCCATTCTTCCTGGCAAAAAGCCTAAAGGTCCTGTAAATTCTTGGGCTGTCTTGCATGAACTGCACGTTTGAAATCTCCCCAGAGTGGCTCAATGATATTGAGGTCAGGAGACTGAGATGGCCACCCCAGAACCTTCACTTTATTCTGCTGTAGCCAATGACAGGTCGACTTGGCCTTGTGTTTAGGATCATTGTCATGTTGGAATGTCCAAGTACGTCCCATGCGCAGCTTCCGGGCTGATGCATGCAAATTGGCTCATTTGGGTAGTTTCTGTTGTCATTATGATTGGAAAAGAGTAAACACAGTTGATTGATAATAAATGGCTTCAGCCAAACACTACCCATGAGTGACAGAAAGGTTTTCGTGTTATCATTCATATTCTCTGAAAAATGGCCAGGAAATCATAAATTCTGCCATGGTATGTAAACTTATGAGCACAACTGTATATATATATATATTTATATATACTGTGGCAGTGCGTGGCAATGCCACGGTGTAGTATGGCAACTTTGGCGCCCAGGACTCTCAGCCAGAGGGTCTGAGAGGTTCCACAATGTGAATACCTTTGGAGAGGAGGAACTGGCTGTTCAAATCCCTTCCAGGTTTTCCAGACTATAGTGGGATGGGATCTCCAGTCCTGGAGCCAGGTTTTGCCAGTGGCCAGGTTGAGCTGATCAGGTGGCTGAGAGCAGCCTTATTAGGAAGCCAGCCCAGTGCTTTAGAGGAGAGTTGTGGGTGTGCAAGAGGCACACAACGACAGGCAGACGCTGCTGCGTGCATGAGCACAGGTGACACAGCCAGGAAGGCTGGAGAGGTCCAGAGGGTCGGTGACCCTGAGATCCCTGTCGGGGTGACAGAGAGGGACAGTGACCCACGAGGGTGAATACCAGAAGTATTGGAGCTGAGGGAAGCTGCTGAGGACAGTATATCCAGGGAAAGTCCTGGGACTATAACACTGGGAGTGTATGGGACAGTCAGATGTCGGTGAGACCAAAACATGATGTGTTAATGAGAGTCCAATGAACTGTTATGCTTCGTTTATGCTGAAGAAAAGCAAGTTACTTTGTGATGTTCAAGGACTGCTGACCTTTTGATGAATAAAGACTGTCCTTTTATGTTAAAGTCGGCTTCAGGAGTGGTCACTTAGCGCTTACCATTGTGCTATATTCCCCAAACTATCACAATACATATATACTAAATTATCTATTATAAATGTCTAGTCAGCTGAGAATCATGCTGTGGATAAGATAGATTGATAGAGAAAAGCTGTTTCCACTTCTTAGAACAATGGATTTCAAATTTTGGTTCTCAAAAACATATAAAGCTGGCAAATTGCTGCTCTCAATCGGCTAGACCTCATCACCAGCATCAGATAAAAATCATGTCCAAAAAAACCTATTATGGATGTGTGAGATACATTTTTTATTTTCATCTAGTTTTTGGCTTCATTGAAATAATCTCAAAATTATACACCAGCCTGTAAAATATTCAGTTTGTAAGGAATAGCCAGCTGCAAACTTTTCATCAATAGTGGCATGCCCATATTTAAAAGGTTCAAATAAATCTTTACCAGTGTAGTTTAGACAGAAAACTATTTTTAAAGTTAAAAAAGAGGAGGAAAACAAACAAAAAACAACATTTTTTACTGACTTCGGTTTTTTTTTAATGGGTGAAAAATACACATCTCTTTTTGATAAATACTGAGAGGATCACGATGAAGAAAAATTAAACCAAGACAAACTGCTATTTTACACACTTTTGATAAAGTGGGTGAGGCAAATGGAACAGAAATTGTGCCAAAAGGGGTTAGTGTTGTAAATGGAAGTAAACAACACTGGATTAAATAAGCCATATCATAACTGCAGTTGTTAAGTGGATCAATAAAATATAATTTAATGAATAATCCAGTTTCCTTCAATAAATAAAAAAGCAGTTATCAGAAGTACATTCTGGAATATTCAAAGAATTGGATTCATTAAATATATAAATAAAAACATTTTTCCCCTCCAAAAAAGCAAAGAGCCATCCCAGCAGCGTGTGAAAAGATGGGCCTTCTCGCTTGATGAAATTCTGAAAGACCCAGTAGGACGAGACCAATTCCTTCGCTTTTTGGAGTCAGAGTTCAGTTCTGAAAATCTCAGGTAAGACATTATCAACATTTACATGCTCCTTCATACTGTATATATTCTAATGTAAATTACAACTACAACGACTACTACCTAAAGTCATAACTTTTTTGGGATAAAGTAGAGAATGGTTAGAACCTCTTTTATCTTTTTTATGGTAGTCCCCATTAGGGAGATGTATCATCTGTTTTTGTTCTGGTGACTGTTGTCATCAAAACTGTAACGTGAAAGAAAATCCAATGTTTTAAATTGTCACTGACTAGAGGGAACCACTTCCAATGAAAATACATTTTCTGGTGACAGCTGTCTAAGATGAGACAGCCCATACTTTGAAAAGAGTTTTTCTCACTTCCTGTTGTGAGTATTGGAAAGGAAGTGACGGTTATTCTCCCCAATAGGACACAGATGGCAAAAACTAAATGATGCTATTTTAACCATTCTCTATCAAAAAGAAAAAAAAATTTGGCTTTAGATACATTTAAAGATTTTACAAAATAACCCTTGCAGTGGGGCTACCCCCGCACTGCAAGGGTTAAGTGCTCATTTGTCTCTAGGGGTTTAAATAAATAAGAAATACTCATCTGATCCTGCAGCAGTTCTTTAATAGTCCCTAGTATAGCGGCCAATAAGGTTATCAGCTGCTCATTGTTTTTTAAAATGTTGGTCCATACATTTTTAAATTCAAACAACGTGCATACTTCTATCATACAAGCCTACTTATTTATGAGCTCCGTAGATACAATGCCACCAATCCTCAGAGCTAAAATCTCACAACAAAATTCATATTTCATATTCATATTTCAGATCTTACGGGTGCCTAGTTCAGGTGTCCCTAAGTGCAGGAGTCTTGTTTTGAAGCCCGTCAGCCAGTTATGGATAATTATGGATAGGGTGGGGGTTAGAACTACTGCCAGTTTGAAATGATGATGTCCCTGATAAGTAGATTTCTCCTCATTTTCTGATACAAGAAATGTCCCCAATGGAGCACGGACATAAAGAAATACGCTATGTATATTCTAACCCTTGCATACTCTATTAGAGAATAGGTTCAAGAAGTGGACTCAAATTGTTATAACCATTACATTTAATGCTTTATTCATTTATAGAAACAAGGTTCTGTTATTTGAAAATATACACTATGTTAATTGTGGTATAAATAATTCTATGCTATGAACACTTATTTGTCACTGATGTGTTTGTACTATGACACTCACTGAATACCCATTTGTTACCTTTTTGATTCAATAAGAAATGCCTTTTTTTATTTTAAAAAAATGTATTATGCACCCCACTCATACTATACATTTATAATAGTTAAATTTGAAAACAAAAAAAGTTTTTTAACAAACGTTATTAAAAAAGATGGGTGCATGAGAATTCTAAAGCAAGTTACAAATAGTATATTTTTGGAGCTTTGCTTGTTAATCCAATACCAAATGGAAACATGAAAAGCCATTCTTTTCACAACCAGGATAGTTATAGCACCATTTACTAAAGTCATACATTTTTATTTTTAAAATATATACCGAATATGCAGAAAATATAAATGAGTTAATTACACTTCACTCAGAGATGAAATTTTGTTAGGCATACGTAATTAATTTTGCATTGAGAACACAGTTATACACATCCACAGAGCCTGTAGATAAAAATTTCAGCAATGAACAAATCTTTCCACTAGAGGACATCGTTGTAGCATGAGATCAAGTCATACAGTCCAGTCTAGTTTTACCGTCTACCTAACATAAAAGAAATAATCAATGTAAATCTAGTTTAACAGCAGTGTTATTTTAAAACAGCTTAAAACACATTGTCACTTTCATAGTTAATTATTTTCCTAAGGTTTTGGCTGGCCGTCCAAGATCTGAAGAGGCAACCTTTGCAAGAAGTTCCAAAAAGAGTAGAAGAAATATGGCAAGAGTTTTTGGCCCCTGGAGCACCAAGTGCCATCAATTTAGATTCTCACAGTTTTGAGAAGACAAGCCAAAATGTGAAGGATGCAGGGAGGTACACATTTGAAGATGCACAGGTTTGTCATTTTTAACATGGTAATTCCTATTTATGTATGTGCACTTAATTTATCTGAATCCCCTTACCAAACGTTTGCCAAAAAACAGTGTGACCCCAAACACATGCTTGAGTATTATTAGTATAGGAAGAGGTGCCGAGAAACACTAGTTAAAAATAATTCTCAATTTTATGCATTGGGGTTGATTTATTTAGGTAAATCGGCTGTTCATTTTGCAAGGGAATTTTCTCTTAGCTTAGTGAATGAGGTGAATCTCTGCTAGTTTCCATCATCCAATCATGTACAAGTTATGAAACTGGTAAGGAACACTGTTTTATATTCATACAATGTATGTGCAATCATAAAACCTTAAAGGGGTTCTAAAGCCTCCGTTTTTTTGCCTATATCTACTGCGAGCAAGCCTAGATATAGGCAAAAAGTTTAAAAACAAAAAACGCTTTAACAGCGTTTTAAACTTGCCTCTTATCGCTGCGCACTCACAAGGCGAGAATCTGGAACTGCTCGTGCGGCCACAAAGGATCTTGCTGGGGGGGTGAATGCGCAGTTTCGGATTCTCGGCCAAGAGACGAGCAGAGACGCAAGGTAAGTCTATGGATGTGTGCACCCGCATGCACACACCGCTGGATCAGAAGTGCCTGCAAGCAGAGAGGAGTCAGCGCTGGATTGGAGAGCCGCCGCACCGCTGGAGGGACAGATGAAGAAGAAGAAGATCGGATTAAGAGACATCATTTAAGGTAAGTGCTGACATTAACATGGGGGAGAGGAAAAAAATGTATCCTTTAATGTCACTTTAACTTGAGCTTATTTAAAGAGGCAAACAGCAATGCTAAGAGTTCATTACCTGTGGAAATCAAGAGATAACATTCTTTATTGATCTGAGCTCTCTCAAGGATGACAGTTATAAGGTTATGTGTTCTTGTTTGTGGATGTTTTCACTTCTTCAGTGCCCTTCACTTTGAATTGTTAAAGCTTAACTGTGGTCATTATATTAAGAAAACCTCTACCCCTTCCACCTGCCTCCAGTTAATTTATAGTTATTTATTTAAATAATTAGAAGCTACATTTTTTTACCTTAATGCAAGGAAAAGATACTTTTGATTAAATCTGTTGGTAACTTGTGAGACCTTTTGGAGTGGTTTGTACTACAATTTGCTATCTAAAGTGCCCAGTGCAAGGGCAAGATTAAGTAAAAATCAAGACAAAGATTGTATCATCATTTGTAGGATACAAGTCCTTTTTTTTTAATCAATTGTGACCAAACATATTGCCATTTAAAATGATGGGAATGTCAAAATGTTGAGGATCTGGGTTAGTGAAAATATTTTCCCATTGATAGGAGATGTGATTATAACAGAATTTTACAACATGAAACACAGTGAATAAGGGAAATACAGGTAGTACACCCTCCCAGGTTAAAATAAAATGTTAGTTTGTTTCCTGGTGCATTCCAATTGCATGTAAAAGAGAACTATGGGGTAATCTTTTTTGGCCATAGTTCTCTTTAGGGTCACGGGAGGACATATACTATCCTACTCCCGTAACCCAAAACTCAGTATATAGCGGGCTATTGCCCTCTATATGCTGAGTGCTCAGAGTACCTCTGAGGTACCGAGCAGAATAGAAAATAAGTGAAAAGAATGCAAAAAAAGTTGAAACATTATTTTAACATTTTTAAAAAAAGGAAAATAAAAAAATACAGTGTATTTTAAAGAAAAAAATGTAAAAAAAATTTTAAACGCTGCATGCCGACCCAACTGCATGCGACAGACTCCCGATGCATAATGAAACATCTGATAGATGTCGGCAAAAGAGTAACAATTGGGCAGAGCTAGCGGTGACAGTTACCTCCGCCCAACTGTTTCCTATTGGCCGGCACCTACCAGAGTCTTCTAGCAGGTCCGGGCAATGAATAACAGTTGGGCGAAGCTGGCCGTGACAGGTCATTTGGGGACGCTGATCTGTCATTACAACTGGGCGGAGCGAGCTGTGAGATCACGGCTGGCTCCGGCCAGTTGTCATCTGCGTGGAGATCGGTCGGCTTTAGCCGACCTTTCTCTACGCTTCGGCTGTCACTTCGGCTCAGTCGACCCGCCGCTCGACTGCCTTCGTTACAGGCTATTGTGAATACCCCATACAGCAGCCCTTCGCTTTGACTGAACCGAAGGGCAGAGGTGGCCGAAGAGAGCCGAAGGATCAGCTGAAGCTACGGCTGGATCCTTTTGGCTCTTTAGTGAATAACCCCCTTAGTTTCTGGAATTCACACAACTCCCTATCCTCATCTCCTCTGAGAAAAGCCATAATTCATATGCCGACAACTAATTACTCTTGTTGTCAGGTTTACCAGGGGAGATCATTTGCACATTGATGCAGATTTCAGGTACCCAAATTATGAATATTTGCATGTTTACACCATGGTCATTAAAAATACATTTTCAAGAATTTTTTGGGGATAAATGTAATATTAGACTGGTTTAGGAAGGTATGAAGGTATGAAAAGGCAGTTATTGACTGGCAGCCCCTGGATTTACAGCTGCTTCAAGGAAAAACTTTAGACACATCCCACAATGCAATTTTACAAAGCTTTATTAGTGGTCATGTGACTTTTATCTGTTCCTCATTTGTCCGAGGAAGGGGGGCAGAGCCTTGTAATGATATATTGCTGTAGGCATGTTAATTGAAGGGATAGATGGCTCATGCAGAATAAAGGTTTGATAACTATAAAACTTTATGGCCTTATGCTTATGTTATTTAAACTCTGTGCAAGGTATTTGCAGCAGATGTGCCTGTTTATTACCTTGCATTACCTCTAGAATTGCTGCAGGACTGCTGTGTGACTTTATGACAGCAGGGCTCCCAGCTGGAGCCACTGTCAATCATTTGCTTTTCATCACCCCTTAGAGGCATTGCTGTCTGTGACATTAGGTGCAGAATAGAGGAAGGGGAGAGCACAGTTTGCAGAGACATGGCATGCCTTACACTGGAATGTTATAAAATATGCAGAGCTGACAACACTGAAGGGGAGAGCTGCATAGGCAAACCATAGCCATGCCCAATAAGGAAGTGAATTGAACTGGCAGGATCAGCAGGTATTTTATTAGGAATATGAAGCATTTAAAAAAAGGTCTGCAATTGAATCCAATATACTTGAGTGACCAGTTCTTATTTTTATGTTATTTACATTTACAGACACCTTAAAGGATAGCAACACTTAAAAAAAAGGCACACAAAATTATCTTTATTGTCCCAAGGGTTTGAGCTTCACAAAATGTAGGCTGCGTTGCTTTATAAGCCAGAGTTGCTGATGTAATGCAAAATTATTTCCCTTGCAGTTTATGAGGGCATTAGAGGAGTGCTCATTTGCAATTAGTTTGTCTCTCTTTGCAATGAAAAGAGATGACAGTGTTAATTGGTTACATTTAGTGATTACAGCAGATCCACATCCAGTTTTACTATGATAGTCTCTTAACTGAGATTCCTGACTGTAATAAAATATCTTAGATTGACAATGTGTGTTTTGTTGCAGGCGCATATCTACAAGCTCATGAAGAGTGATAGTTATGCACGTTTTCTGCGCTCCAATGCCTACCAAGACTTGCTCTCGATGAAGAAGAAGGTAAAGTTGGGGTGGACATGCTTGCATCTTCTGCACATTACTGATTCTGGCCTGCTGCTTGCTAATAGTGTGGAAATGAGAACTGTGCCCCTTGTTTGTACATTCATCTTCTTTGCACGAGGACTAAATTTCATCTCCCTGCCAGCTGTTTTAACATAATACAATTACTTATCCCGTTGCATAGACTAGTGCAATTTACATTGTCTGTAATTTTGTACATTTCATATTGTTAGATCTGTTAAGTCATTGGTCCATGATAATACAGATTTGGAATTTTAGAAAAGGCTGTTTTACTCCATCCAAAGCCATCTTAACTATTAGAAGGCATGATCTCTCATTTGTGGTGACCATGAAGCCTTTTTGTTCACCAGTCTTGTCCTTTGGAGCAGCTCGAAATGCTGGTATTAGTGCAGGATAGGATGTCTTCATGCTTATGCTGTATAGGCTAGCAAAGCATTTATGACAGGCAGCTATGCACTGTGCATTGCATAACTGTAACTGGCTAGAGTAAGGGCATATACATACCAGACATTATTCAACGCAGTTTGCTGCATTTTTATGTAGCCAAACCTAGTACTTTAAAAATCAGCTTATGTCTGTTTTCACCGAAGTGATTAGTTGTACTGCATTTTGAGAATATCCTGCAGTTTTCGGTGCCTTCAAAATCATTTCACATCTGAAAATGAATTACAACATGTGTTCAATTGCATCTGATGTGACCAAGCTTTAAAAGCCAAGTCTGCTCACCACTGAAAAGCCATGTTAGTGGAACTCAAGTGCAGGATACCTATTTATGTACAGAGCTATAGCAGCATGTTCATTTGACTGACAGTCCCCCTCCCAGGAGCCTTTTCTGTTGTGTGCAGATTTTTATTGGCCAAGTAAACTGAGCCTGTTAAAACCTCAGTTGATGTAAATAAAAATTCAGAGGATTGATGATTGCTTTAGTGGTGACCCTTAGACAACATATGGCTCTGAAGCAAAAGCACAAGAAAATGTACTAATCTCAGGACCACTGTTTATCAAGGTAAGGGACTGTAAAATAAACAGGGTAGAACGTATTTGGGCACATGATGCTGTTACAGTATTATAGGGTAGTACAAAAATGCAACAACAGAATCAAGCAACCGGTTGTAAGTTATAAAAACATTTCTGAAAATATATAAACATTGTAGGATATTGCTCATTGGCCCCTTGGTTGGGTTTTACCCCTGAATTTCAGTCAGCATAAGCCGATTCATTTTCCTGAAGATGACACTAGGGAAGAACGAATGATCAATGTTACTACAATATCAATTATTTATAATTCAGCAGACAAGCCTAATGCTGGTTACTTTTTCACCTGCAGAAGGTAAATTTGTTCAGTCACTCTTTTGATCCACACAAGTCTGCCAAAATGCACAGTCAGGAAGATCACTCTTGCTTCATCTTTACTGCTACCAGCTTCAGCCTTACTGCTTCCTGGAAACCGTCACCTCCCTGATTATAGGAGTTATGATGCTGATGTATAGTCCAATGAGCAGGCTTGAGGCTAGGATGTGACATAGGATGCTACATTGCTGAACAAGGAAATAGGTGTACCAGTGTTTTGGCCGTGCAGTGTGGCCGATGTGTGTAAAAATTTGCCGGACAGAATTACAAACCCTTTGGCGCGCAAAACACAAAAACATTTATCTTTTAAATCGGGTTTTCAGCTGTTTAGAATTCTGCTTTAAGTATCACAATGTGTTCAGTTCATCCAGTTGTGCTAATGCATTTAAAAAATGGCAAAGGAGAATGCAAATCATATCCCATGTATCTTTTAATGCATCTGCATATTAAATGAGAAGATAACACAGCTGGGCTCTGCAGCCAGGAGTTCAGACCAAACTCCAAGTGTGATAAATCATAGTTCATGTCACCTCGGCTTTATTTCATTAGCAGTAAATAGTAAGTGAACAGCAGTTTGTTTAAATTAATAAAAGATACAGCTTTATGTTCTATAGGGCATCACAAGTACAACTTAATTGAGCTCCTGTTTTTAGGCATAACACCCTTTCTCAAACTATTGTGCCACAAATACAGATACAAGAAGCACATTTTTAAAGGATGCTTGTGCATAGAGCAATAGGAAGGCTGTCATTGCTGACCTCCACTTGCCTGGCTATGATGCTGATCTAATGGGTCCAATACTTTCAGAGCCACTGATCTGGAACAAGCAAACACAAACAGAACTTCAAATATTGCTACGACTTCACTTGTGGCATTTTGTGATTAGTGGTTGAGAAGGTATTGAAGGTAAATCTTTATGACAGACAGGCAGCTAGCTTTTTTGGAAGAAAGTCAGAAATCGCAGTACCATAATGTCTCTCTTTACAGTCTGAGTAGTGTGCAGAATTGGTGTGACCAAGACCATGGAGTTGGTTTAGTGGTAGAGTATGTTCACTTTGAAAATGGGATTTTTATTTATCTGAATGATTGTAGTGAAAATTCACTCTACAAAGAATACCCAGCCACAAGCAAGGACAATTAAAGAACATAATTTTTGCTTGCACATGATTGGACGTTTAAAGTCAGCACAATCACGTCACATTCATTAAGCCAAATTAAAATAATCTTGCAAAATGAAAGTTGACTTTGCTAAGTGAACTGACCCCCACATCCATGCACCTACTGATTGCATATTGATATACATCTTTAACTTTTAAAGAGGAATGTAAAAGGTTAACCCCTGTTTTGGTATAGGGGCTCAAATAAAACAAATATGTTTATCTGATCCTCTTTCCCACCTGGCTGCTAGCCCTGGGCTCCAGCGGTCTAAGCCCTTATGATGTCATTACGTATAATGCAGTCCATTCACCTGCATAAGATTTGAGGACGATGAGCTCTCACCACTGCAGGCCTGAGGGTCAGCTGAGCGTATCTTTTACCCAAAACAAAAGAAAACGTTTACGCTTCGATATATTTTAACAGTGTTGTTATTGTTTTTGCAATTTCAATGGTTAACAATTTATATCCTTGGAGTTCTTCTTTAAAGTAGGTAAAACACATCAGTTATTTCATTACAGAAATTAAACCATTGCAACAACAATAACAGCACTGTTAAAATATATCCAAGTCCAAACCTTTTCTTTTATTTTGGGTAAAACAGGCAATGGTTAAATCCCTGTCAGTTTTTTGTTGTTTTATGCCAACTCTATTTGGGAAGATTGGTCTTCACATCCTGTCTTGTGTGAGAACACAACAGGAAGTAAAATGAAATCTTTTCAAAGTTAGAGAAATATTATCTTCCTGTTCTGGTGACAACTCAATTTTTTTTTTTTTTATTTACCGGGAATGCCCTAAAAAAATATTCTTCCGTTTTGAACATTGCACAAATAGCAGCAGCAACCCGGTTGCTTTGGTATACTGGAAGTATGCCCATTAATTAATTGAACTGTGCCCAATTAATGGCTCAAAATATTGTATGAATTATGTAATCTTGTTTTTTTATCATTCTTCTTTTTAACATTCTCTACACTTCTTGAGTCTGTAGTTTTAAATTTAAATAACAAAAATGTCTAATTCAAATTCTATTGCTGTATCGTTTTTGTGTGTATATGCCATTCTTTCTGCTAACTAATTTTTTTCTTCAAGTTATTTGCATACTTTAAATTATATGCACTACGTTATAATTGCACTTGTGTCACAACACGTTATTTTTATTTTTTTTCTGTTATGTAATTGCCCAATGCAATGAATATTGCATTTTGAGTCATCTTTAAACTCCTTTTTTTATTTTCTTTCATGTATTTTACACGTGCTAGCATGTAAATTGGACAGAAGTCTTTAAACATTTTTACAGAACATTACAAAAAATGATATCCCTATTCTCATATGATGGTGATTTTTTTTTATACATAATGTTTCTGTTAGGCTAAGCAGTATGCAATTCTCTCACATAATATTGTATTACTTTTGGTAAAACAAATCAAATTGAAATTTTTGTCAGAATCTGCTGTGCTCACTATTATTCCTGTTGAGTCCAAGTTACAAAAAAGGGCTGATGTATCAGTTGGTCAGTATTAAGAACCATTAGTACCATCCAATAAATATCATTCATAATCAGCTGGGCAACTTAAGCTTAGATCTAATTGATGACCATGAGGCAACAATTAAAATGATTTAAAGTCTAGTTACAGCTGAAATGTTTTTTTGTTTTTTTTGGATAAACCAGAGAAGAGTTGGAGCCTGTGTCCAGTTTATATTTGTTATTAAAGATTGTCTCCCTATTGAGGAGATTTCCCCTCATTTCCTGTCAGGCCAGAAAACCTCTCCAACAAGGACATAGACAATAAATATACGTAACATTTTTCTCCACCACACCTTGTATCTGTAGTGGTGTAAGAGTCACTAGTATCATTATGGGTTCTCCTACCTTTTCTGAGGTTGCTTGTCCTGTTTCCAAAACCAACATCACTGACAACTTCTAGCAATTATCAGGCTTGAGTCTCTAGGGTCCTTTAACAATTTAGTGCTGAGCACAAACTCAGGAGAGAAGATTTAGGGATGCAAGATACCCAAAAGCAAAAAAATGGAGGACAGTTCATACTGAAATAGTAGCAGCAACACGTCCTATGAGAGCAACCTCCATTAGACAGATAGGCAGCCAAATAAATGGATGACTGTGTAAGAACAGTCATAGTCTTTCTCATGTACCAACTGGCTTCTGTCCCCCATTAAGATACCTGGGTCTGTGGGTGATGAATCCTTCCTACAATGTCTAAACTGCAGCTTCTCTCCAGCTTCCCTGGTAAAGTCTTTGTTAAGAAGATCCCTTATCCAGCTTTCTTCAGGTGTCTACTCCAGCTGTAGCTTAGTATACAGGGCTCCAGCTCATGGGAAATGCTGAGACCAGGCGCTGACAGCAGATCCGCACACAAACCTTCTGCAGGGAGAAGCCCCAGGGAAGAGAGCTCTGGAAAGATGCTCCCAAACATTTATCTCCCCAGCTATACCTCTGAAACAGCACCTCAGGGATT